AGTCAAATACCACTGTTTTCGGCGGACGTGCTCGCAACCCTCTAGGACAAATGGGACTCTTATCACCAGTGTTTCCGGAACGCTACCAGAAGTGGTGTATCCCTATGCCCCCTATTATAGTACTCCCCTAACCCTGATCCTGCTTCTAGAAAGGAAATTCCTCCCTGCGAAGGGATTTATGTGATTCTGGTTCTGGGGCGGTGTGGATCCGATGATCCGAGACGACAGTATGCGCAATTCTGCTGCCATAATGACTACTTCTCGGCAACTATACAGGTATGGGTCTGAACCATGAAGATCGAAGAGATATTTTTGGCAGAAACATTGAATTTTTTGCACACCAGCTCACCCGTTTAGCATTCGAAATCGTATCTACACCTGAAAATCCGGTTCCCCCAGCACATTTAACCACTGGGGAGCATAGCCGACAGGGCTCGGAAAGGGCCAGCGAATTAATCTTCGCTGGGGCTAAGAAGATTTTAGATTATCAAGATGCGACGATTGGGGTGTGGCTAGAGATTCGCTTGATATCAAGAATGTAGCATATTATGGGGATTGCATGGAGGAGGGCGACGCTAAGAAGGCAGGGTGAATTCATCCCACCATCACCTTCGCTCCAGGGGTGTGGGGTACAAGTTGCTCTCGGGGGGTGCAGGTTGAGCGCTGCTTGACTCCGGCTGTACCGTACCCGGGCGCAAATTGAGATACGGTGCATATCAGCAAAAAGACATGGCGCGGTCCGAGGCCCGCTTCACGATGACTTTGTTTGCACGCAAGTGCCCTATTGAAAATATTGAAGAGGCGACTGAGAGGCTAACGATGGAGGGATGACTTGGTTTTGCGGAGGGAGACAGAGGAGACCGACGGAAAGATAGATAAGATAGAAGTGAGGTATAGGGAACGGGGTCGGGAGATGTGAAGGCAAAGTATAAAAGGAACGAGGAGCTAAGCGAGCGGGCGAGCGAGGAGATCGATGTGGTTTGTGTTCGTTTTCTTGAAGAGTGATTGCGAAGCTTGATGATCGAGAGAGGGAAAGCAAAGAAGCAAGGAAAAACAAGAACAAATTTTAAAAATGAAACCCGCACTGCTAATGCCAAGGTTGTGGCTGGAGCGCCACACCCCCCGGATGCGCTCACAACCAGGGCACTCGAGACTTCAGAGTGCCGGACTGCTCAACATTACCGGATGCTTCCGGTTGTTTACCGAATATGATATTAAACCGAATAGTCAAAGTCACTTTGTGGGTTACCATAGCAACACGGTGGCTGAGCATAACATGAGGCTCAATGGATATCGTAATTTACAAAATACTTGTGCTATGGCTGTGGCTTGGACGCCACAATCTTGGCACGAGGCTGGCTCCTAGCCATTTGGTGATTGGTGGTTAGCGTGAGAATTTCAACACTTTCGTACTCGTACAGTGCAGAAGTTTCCCTGCTAGCTGGTCCTGGTCCTGTTTCATGATAAGTTTCCGAGTTGGGAAGGAAAGAAGGTGCTAGGGTGGGCGGATGTCGCGTCCACCTCTATTACTCTAGTACAAAATATCAGATTTGTATGCAAACTAAAGCAGATTAGGCAATTCGAGTGATAATACCTGAGATTTTTTGGTGGCTCCCAAAAGTCGGGTCCACATCCGGAGGGGGTGGTAGCGATTCTGGAGCAACAACGCTGGAAGAGGATTTGTTCCACCGGACGCGAAATACCCTTACACCGGAGTATTCACACAGGACGGTATGACACTGGTCGGTAGTGTTCGGGTGCCTTCGGTGATGCACTTGCTATATTTGGTGGAATAACCTTTACCGGAAAGTGCAGGACTACGGAGGACAGAAGAGACGCCGGAATAGGCGTGATCTCATGAGATAGTATCTAGACTTTGTACCGGATAAATAGATGGCTCTACCGGTATATTAACCCCCCTCCTACCACGTGGATGAAAAAGAGAGAGCAAGCAGAAAATATCTCGGAATCCTATCCCTCCATTCCTCCTACTTGTACATTCCTCTCAAGTCTTTTTCCTCATATCACGACCAACGCATCTTCCTAAAACGGACCGGGTTCTTGGAGATCTGTCGCCCTTACAAACGGCAAAGTCTGGTATCGGTTACACAAAGTTCAGGGGGAGCGGTAGAATCCGATGTTTGCCCGGAAGGAGCGGATGTGATGACCATCAGCCCGCTCCATCTCAATCAACAGGGCCCAGAAGATCAACAACTCATCCAGCTAGACTACAGCATTAAAGCAGGCAAGAGAATATCATACGCTAACATCAACACTGCTTACATCCGACACAAAGACATACGAACCCGCCGTGCCGACAACGTGGGGATATGGCTGTTGAAAACTGAGGATTTGAAGATGGTCTGGCGGGGCCCAGGCGGACGGAACTGAATATGCGACTTTATTCTGTCGCGGCGATCTGGTAGTTGGAAAGACATATTTCACGTGAGGTACAACCCCTGGAGAAAAGCTCTCGCGTGGTGGTGCTAATGAGCAGCGATACCAGTTTACTGGTAGTAGACGGGTTATGCGATGGGACAAAAGAGCGAGACATAACTGTTGTGTGTTTCTACGTCGATTTCGCGGCAAGGGAGGAGCAGTCTCCGACAAACATGCTCGGCTCGCTACTGAAACAGATCGTTGCCGGGTTGGAGGGGATGCCGGAAAGGATATGGGGTCGTTTCGTAGATTGCAAAATAGTGGGTGGTGGAAGGGGGCTAGGGGTGCCGGCATTGTGAAGACGACGCAGACTGCCACATCTTTACGGTCGGCATTTTTTATGTATTAATGGTCTTGACGAATATGTGGAAGAGCATCGACCTGAAATTCTGGATTCCTTGAGACAAATCCTCGACAAGTCGCCAAAACACGCAGATATTTCTAACCGGAAGACCACACATCCAGAGCGAGGTTGACAGGCATTTTAGCGGGAGAGCGGAGATTTTATCCATAAAACCTGACCGACCGATATCGTGGGATATGTTCGGATGAGGTTGAGTATAGATGCATCTCCGGACGCGGTGGGTGGTGATATCGAGGCCGAGATCATCAAAACTATTGCCGAGGATATTCCCGAATTCTAAGCGGGCAACATGATGGAACAGATAAGGGAGCAAGGTGGGGGGGTGACAAGGCTCGAAATGGCATTTCTGGTATGGAGCTCGCATGCGGAGCGGCTATTATATTACAACTCAATGAACTTTCCCGTGTCCTAGCAGTCGAAACACGGTCTACGGATCTCGATGCTCAAAAGATTCCTTCGGTGGAGGCATTGCTGGGCTATTGCTTAAGGCTTGTCGCCGTTGGTGGGGGAGCTTCAATTGTTCGCTTGATTCACATAACTCTCTAGGAGTGCCTTTGCATCCGCCCCCACCTTTTTGGTGCGACTCACTCGATAATAGCGGAAACCTGCCTGACATCTCTCAGCTTCCGGACAATTAAGGGGATCCCACCCACACTCTTTGATCCTCTTCATTCAACCGCTTTCCTCAATTATTCTTCGTTATATTGGTGGGTCCGCACCAGGAGAGATGCCTCGAGCGACGCTACAGCACTTGCGCCCAAGCTGTTTAATCGGATTGAAAGCCATATATCAGCTAAATTTCTCCGGGCGGATCTAATATCGGCAGCTGGTCGGTACAACCGCGATATCCCCATCAATGGTTACCTCGTGGGTTTACCGGAATATATTGTGCATCAGTTTTCGGTGTCGTTCAAATGGCAATTGCGGCATGTGCCAGCCGGGTCCCGGCCTCAACGAAATGGATTTTCCGGGAATTACACCACTCACGTGGCCTGCTATTTGTGGGCAAGGGGGGTAGCAAAGCTCCTATTAGAATAGCAGGCTATCGTCTCCGACAAACCGCACAAATGCTTTCGTCGAACCGCACTCTCATAGGCTGCCGGGAAGGGGGCGTGAGGGAATAGTGGGGCTGTTGCTTCCCTGGGCATTTGCCCAGCTCACTTGGAAAGATGGCTGGAGGGGTAAGATGCTGCGAGCCATGAGTGGTTTTCTGCAAAGGGGATATGTCAATCCTAACAGGCCAGAAAAACACGGCCGAACGGCCACTCATTGGCTGCTGGAGAGGGGAACGAAGGGGTGGTAAAGGAACTGTTGGAAAAGAAGTCTGTCAAACCACATGCGAAAGTCCGGACGACCATACCCCTTCTCTTTCGGGCTCGTAGTAACAGCGTGCGGGAGTGGCGAAGCTGATATTGGAGCTTGAGGATATCGAAATCGATAGGCCCGACAAAGATGGCCAAACACTACTCTTGTCGGCTGTTGGAGGCGGCCTGGGGAGGTCTCCTTCTGGGGGGAAAGACATCGATCCCGACCTGCCCGATGAACGCGGTAACACGCCACTAATGTCGGTTTGTAGGAGGGGGGATGAAGCAATGGTGAAAATACTATTGGAACGGGAAGACGTCAGCCTTAGTATCCCAACAACGTTGGCCAACCTCTTTTGTGGGCTGCCACATGGAGGAATGATGGAGTAGTGAAGCTACTATTGGGAAGGGAAGACGTTAATCCTATTACTCCGGGCCTGTTTGGCCGAATAGCTCTCTCGTGGGCTGCTTGGTTGGGAGACGATAGAGCAGTGAAGCTACTGTTGGAACGGAGGGACGTCAGCCCCGATATTACAGATGTCAGTGACCTAACACCACTGTCGTTCGCTTCCGAAAAGAGGCATGATGTAGCGGTGGGGCTACAGTTAGGATTAGGATTGTCAACCCTAATACACCCGACGATTGTAGCCAAACCCACTCTGTTGGGCTGCCCGGAGTGGATATGAGGGAGTAGTGAGACTCCTATGGGAACGGGAACACGTCAGCTCCGATATGCTAGATATTCGTGGGCGAACACCGCTCTCATTCGCTGCTTAGAATGTATGACGGAATGTCAAAGCTGCTGCTAGGAGCCTAGGGCAGGACTATATATAGCCCAATATACCAGACAGTCATGGCCGGGCGCCGCTCTCACTCGTTGCCGAGTATGGGGGATGGAGCAGTGAAGTGGCTGTTGGAACGGAAGGGCGTCAACCCCGATATGCCGGACCCTCGTGGCCAGACACCGCCCTCGTTCGCTGCCGGGAATGTGGGGGACCTCTACCCTATATGCCAGACAATTTTGGCGCAACACCGGTCTTGTGGGGCACCAGGAATGCGCATGAGGGAATTGCGAAGTTTCTATTGGAACGGGGGGATGTCAGTCCCGGAAGGCTACACAATTAGGCACGGAAACTGCTTTGGTTGGCTTGTTGGAAGGGGTATGGTGAAGTGGTGAAGCTGCTGTTAGGAAGCGGCGGCATCAACCTCAACGAGCCAGGCAAGGGCGGTACTACATCACCCTCATGGGCTCCTAAGAGTCGCTATGAAGGCGTCGTGAAGCTCTCGAAAGCCGACAAATCCACAACCCCTAGCATGTCTTAAACTCCGCAGGATTAGTGTTCGTTACGGGGCGGGGCGGGGCGGCTTTCCGCGGTTTCTCCCCGCCCCGTTACGGCCACGGGGGGCCGTATCGGGCGGGGGAGGGAATGGAGGAGAAAATAGGCCCCGCCCCGGGCCAACCGCCGGGGCGGGGTGGGGAACAGGGGCAGGGACCTGCAGTTTTCGGGACCCCGGAGGCCCCGTAACGAACTCTACGCAGGATATTCTTTCCTGACATCCGTAGGAACTGCTACGCGTCGCCCCTCGGCATCCCCCAGACTCACCTATATAGCCATCAGTGGCTTATTCCTCCCAAAAATCGCTTGCATCTCCTTCTTGGATTGTCGGCAATCTCGTTGACATCGCTGTCTTTCCTCTCCTTCCGAATCCCCGATTCCGTTCTATCAGGCGTCGACGTACTGCTATCGGCGTTCCCTACCTGTAGTTATGCTAACAATTTTCACTCGACAATCCGGTTTTTTTATTTATTGCTTTTGTATACCCGCCCCGGGCGGGAGGTATCCGAAAATACTAACGATGAGTTTGCGATGCGCACAGATTTCGCGCCATCTGTTTTGGGAATCAATGTTTTCGAATACTTCCTTCCCTGGGACGAGTAACTGAGAATTGAAGCTTAGATTTCTCGTACTTTCCTGCCTCCGGAGTGTAGCTTTCCTCCGTTTCTCATAGTCGCTGAAATACCCTCTTCCATATTCCCCACAATATATGCTATAACTTTGAGGATTCCTTCACCCTGTCCATAATTATTAAAGAAACGTTTTCCACCGCATTTTCCTGACAGAAACGAACTGTGGTATATACATACGCTCCGCCGTAGCCAACTAGTCCTCGGAGTGGGCTCTCCTTTCGAAAAAAAAAACATTTGAGGAAGAGTGCAGTTAGGGACTACCGCCTTATTAACATAGGTGAGAGAACGGTGAGCTGAATAGTCGAGAATTCCGAACTTTGGAAAAGGAGTGAAAAACACCGCAAAAAAAAAAAGGAGACATAAAATACAAAAGTGGCAGAGTATACCGGAGGGGCAACTCCAAGGAGATAGTACGCCTTTCTCTTTTTTGAGTTATTACGGTGGTGTGCATAAGAGCCAAGAGGAGATTCGGGAGCGGAGATTACGCAAGTGTTTTAGATGGTATATCGTTTCGCTGGAGTGCTACCGTAACCCAGTAACAGAAATTGGCCCATGTGATATAGCGCCTCGCCTCTTCTCACAATCAGAGGTGAATAAAAATTACCCTTGCTATATGATAGGGAATGTTAGCAATGTTAAAGTAAATGGGGATATAGTGTACGCGCTGTAAGTAAGGCAAATGGGCGGTTAGGAATTCCTATACATACGTAGCAAAGAACCACATTCTCCGGGTATTACAACCAGAGGAACTGACTGTCCTCGTGGAAACGACCCAGTAGCTGCTGGCTCGGGTTTTTTCGGCTCTAGAAATTCCTCTGCTTGCGGTGCTCCAGAATCCTCTCCGATGATGTCAGTGGGGCTGTATGGTGGGACACCAGAATGTGTGCTAGCAGGGTAGGCATCGGCAATGACGGTGAAAATCAAGACAGATGCGGGTTTAGGAGTCTCCGCAATTTTGATGGCGCTCGAATCCTCCTTAATAGTGGCAGGTGTCGGGGCAGGGTCTGGTGAGGTGGTTCCAGGAGCTTTCTATGTGGGATTGTAAAACTAAGCGTGTACTCTTAAAATGCGCTCAAGGGGGGCAAGGGGGGAGCGGGCCTACCCTGATTGGGCCCCAAGTTAATAAGCGGGACGTCCATCTACGGAACCGTTGGTTTCGGAGAGACCAAATCCCAACAAACAAAGTAAGGCAAGCTACAACGATTCCCACTATCGCTAACGGGCTTTCGCTGTCGCCGCCACTCGCTCCGCCGTCTTCCGGGTGAGGTTGACCGCCGAAGTCTTGTGCCCAGGTTTTGGTATGGTTCCGTGGGATAGGTGTCATGGTGGCTCACTACAATAAAAAATTTGAGGGATCTGGTGATAACGTGCCTTGTTATTAGGATGTACTTGTAGTAGGTAGTGCGCGGGAAGGGGATCCTAAGTTGATCGCAGTGGGGGATTTATACAAACCAGAGAGGTAGCGCCGAGCCCGAAGGCGAGAGATTAGGAAGGCGACATAAAGCAGTGGCGGCTTCTAGCCCGCACAAGGTGAATGGGTTTCGGTAACCAACCTTGTTTACTCTGTGCAGGGGGTCTGAATTTTATGGTTGGTAACGGTGGTGAGAGAGCAAAAGGCGACAGTGAGGTACCCCACGGTGCGAGAAGGGAGCGTGCAAAACCAAAATGAGAAGGAGCAGAAAAATCTACAATACAGTCCCATTCTCAAAAAAGTTTTCACTCCCCTGGCTCTGGAAAGCTAAGTTACATTAATTGCGAGTGGAAGAACGGCACGAGCTTCTCGGATAACTAAGCGAGCTGTTAGGCAGCGTACTCGAGTACAGCAAGCGCACCTTCAGTGGGTTATTAATCACCCCGAAAGCAACAAGAGATCTTACTTGTAGCACGGTATGTGCGACAAAAACGCTAATTCTTTATCCGGAACGGGTTATCATAGGACGCGGCTGGCGGGTATGATAACCTACTTAACTTTAGGGTTTGCCATAAGTCTGTAGAAAATTGGTCTGGTTGATGAAAGCTAGGTTTGCTCAACCCGGATCATCCAGCTGGATAGCCGAATGGCGCCAATTTTTGGCGAAGGAAAAATGTCCGTAGAACTCTTGGCTTAGCGGCTAGAGTAGACGTGTTCTCGGGGGGAACGTCAAGGCCGTTGAGACCACCGGAAGGGTTCTATATTTATTTATTCTTCTCCCCAGGTGCTGTCTGAGCTAGTGCGCTGAGCACGGTGCCCGTAGAGTCCTGGGGCGCGCCGTCCCCTGTCACACCGCATGTCCTCATCTCCGGCAGTCGGGAGCCTGGGAAACCCACGCCAAGAGGCAAGTGTAAGCCGCACTTTCTTTAACGCTCGGAGGTGGAAAGGGCACCGACGAGTTGTGCAGAATTTGCGAAGGCTCAACAGCTGCCCATACCACCTCTCTGAACATTACCCGAATGCTGTACCATTGATCAGGCCCGAGGGGTTCAAAATGCGCACTGGGTAGAGAGAATAGGTCTCTCTGGAAAAACCTCGCGCTTAACTTCAATTGGTACCGCGCGAGGCTGCACTGCTGGATTTGTAGGTTACAGGTTTCTCTTAAGTGTTTGGTGCGATAAAAAGATCATGTCGCTAACGTATCGCACAATGACCTACTTTCTCATGCACCTGCTTCTCTCTCAAAAGGTGCAAGTTTTCGACACTCGTACTATCACAGCTGTTAGGCGCGTTTACTGGGAAAACAAAATGAGGAGGTTTATGATGTTCTCCTTTATCTTCCCTTTACTGGGTGGGTTCTTCTCTTCCGATTGTGTTGGCAACTGCGCACGCAACCGAATCCAGAAAGCATCACAGGCGCGGCGCAGCCATCCTCTGGTCCGAAGCGCAGGCGAGGCCAAAACATGGTTGTGTTGTACGGTACATATGCCTATAATCAGATGTCTTACAAATACTAGTGCGGGGTCGGGAACAAGAGGGTTTTACTACAGGCACTGGCATGGATACAGTGCCTGTGTGAAGGATTTTGTTATCCAGCATATAATATTTACGGGGGAATTGACTATTTGAAGGGGTTTCAGCCAGGCCACCACCCTGAGCCTAAGCAGAAACTTTGCGGAACCCTCGATGCTCTGCTGGCAAGTTACACCTCATCAATAATTGCGATATTGCCGCGAGATGATGCTAGGGCAACTATCTTAGCAAACTGGTTATAGTGCTTTAAGCGATGGTAGAACTTTATGAACTTGTAGGATCTTCGGTTTGTAATGGGTACGCTTAAAATCAATTATCAGCCAATACACCGATAGAATGGCTTTAGATCGGGAATTCGGGGAAATGCAGATCTAGCTTTGGGTGAGCCATGGAACTGTTCAAAGGTGGGATTTTTTTTTCTCGCCATTCTTGGTGTGAACGGGCCGTAGTCACAAAGGCGTTTTGCACCGGGACTGTAAGATACAAGGATGAGTATGAAGTGCAGTACTCGAGTACCGATATGATGCCCCATCCCATCCCCCCACCACGCCTTCCGCAGGCGATGCTTTGTGTACCCGCTCTGCTAGCTTAAGGATGTTGGCAGAATACTGGAACGGAAAAAAAAAAAAAAATCTCCCCCCAATCTCGCTTTCATCCCACTGAAGGTTTTACTCCTTGTCACACAAGACCCTCTTTGCCTCTCTGACCAATGGGGTGGCGACATGGCGACTCACGATAGGCTTCATCAAACTTTCGTTTTCCTACCAGAGCCATGATTGACATAATACCTGTACTTCACAAGTATTTCGTGGTAATACACAGGTTACCGGTACCGTAAAATCTTAAATAATCGAACCGTGTACCGTGATGTGTGAGTCGCCTCTTCTGGTAAGGCATGATGTTTTTGATTTTTAATAGCTTAGAGGGGCTGAGCGGCGCGTTTTTTGCTGATTTTATCGTCTATCGTACCTCTAAGTAGGGAACTCTCGCCCTCAAAGCACGCGGTTCGATTACTTGATCTTTTCTTGTGCGATACCCGGGGGCGCCGCAGAGAAACCATTTGTTGAACCTCCAAATCAGGCGCAAAAGGCACGGGCCAGCGTCTAATGACTAACTACGGGAATCTAATCGGTGCTTGGGTTGTCGCGGTGGTGCCATCAGTGTTGGCCGTGGGGTAGGAACATACCGGTGTGCTGCGAGAGCGATGATAAAAATATCATAACTTCGGACCCCAACTCACAGGTAAGGCGTTGTAGTGTTTATTAAGAGGAAGTTGTATTGACAGCGAGGCTATTGTAGAAAGTAAGATCTTGGTTACACAAATTCTAGGTGGACTGATAGAAGCAGCTGTTCGCCCGGAAGGCGCCGCGGTGTAATGACCGTCAGCTCGCTCGATTTCCATCAACAGGGCCCCCCCCAAAAAAGCCAATCTAGCAACCGGTACAGCGTTGAGGTGGCTGGGAGAATACCATACGCTAGCATCACCCACTACGGTACTTACATAGAAATACCGGTATTGGCTCGGTAGACGGGATATCTAAGATGCTAGCTCTCTTCTGTCCACATGATCCCCACACCCGACACAAAGAAATTTGAACCCGCCGTACCGAAAGTGTGGGGAACGACTCTTGAAAGCTGAGGATTTTCGAAGATAGCCTGGGGGGACCTAGGAGAATGGATCTGAACATGCGACTTTATTCTCCCGCGGCGATCCGGCAGCCGGCAAGACATATTTCACCTGACACAACCCCCGGGGAAAAGCTCTGGCGTGGTGGTGCTGATCGGCAACGAAACTAGTTCACTAGTAGTACGAGTAGGCAGGTTATGCGATGGGGCTAAGGAGCGAGGCAAAGCGGTTGCCTGTTTCTACGTCGATTTCGCGGCAAGGGAGGAGTCTCCGACAGGCATGCTCGGCTCGCTACTGAAACAGATCGTTGGCGGATTGGAGGGGGGTGCCGGAAAAGATATGCGATCGCTTCGTAGATTACGAAATAGTCGGTGGTGGAAGGGGACTACGGGTGCCCGACATTGCGGAGATGCTGCGGACTGTCACATTTTTACAGCCGACATTTTTGTTTGTCGATGATCTGGACGAACGTGTGGGAGAGCATCGACATGAAACTCCGGATTCCTTGAAACAAATCCTCGAGAATTCGCCAAACACGACGATATTCCTAACCGGAAGACGAAACATCCAGAGCGAGGCTGAGAGGCATTTTGGCGGGGGAGTGGAAGTTTTATCCATAAAACCTAAGCGATATCGTGGAATATGTTCGGATGAGGCTGAGCATGGATAGATCTCTAGACGTGGTGCATGATGATCTCGAGGCCGAAATCATCAAAACTATTGCCGAGGATATTTCCGAACCCTAAGCGGGCAACATGACCGAACGGATAAGGGAGCAAGGTGGGGGGAAAACAAGGCTCGGAATGGTAGTTCTGATGTGGATCTCGCATATCCGAGCGGATATTACAACCCGATGAACTTTCTCGTGCCCTGGTAGTTGAGATAGGATCTACGGATCTCGATCTTCAAAGCATTCCTTCGCTGGAGACATTGCTGGGCTATTGCTTAAGGTTTGTCGCGGCCCTTGGCAAGGAGGCCTCGATTGTTCTTGATTCACATAACTCTCTGGGGGTGCCTTTACACCCGCCCCGACCTTTTTGGCGCAACTCCCTCGATAATAGCGGAAACCTGCCTAACATATCTCAACTTCTAGACAATTAAGGGGATCCCACTCACACTCTTTGGTCCTCCTCAGTCAACCGCTTTCCTCAAATATTCATTGTTATGTTTATGGGTCAGCGCCAGGAGAGATGCCTCGAGCGGCGCTATAGCACTTGCGCCCAAGCTGTTGAGTCGGATTGAAAGCCATATATCTGCTAAATTGCTCGTGGCGGGTCTAGTACCGGCGGCTGGTCGGTACGGTAGCGATGCCCCTATCGACGGTTACCTCGTGGGTTTACCGGAATGCATTGTGCATCAATTTTCGGTGTCGTTGAAATGGAAATTGCTCTCATGGGCCAGCCAGATCCCGGCTTCAAAAAAAAAGATTTTCGCATTACACCACTCACGTGGGCTGCGATTTATGGGAAATAGGGGTAGCAAAACTCTTATTAGAACAGGATACTATCTTCGACAAACCGGACAAATCCTTTCGAACCACACTCCCATGGGTTACCGAGAAGGGGCGTGAGGGAATAATGGGGCTATTTCTTCCCTAGGCATTTGCCAAGCTCACTTGGAGAGATGGCTGGAGGGGTAAGATGCTACGAGTCATTAGTGGTTCTCTTCAAGGAGATATATCAATCCTAATAGGCCAGAAAAACACGTCCGAACGGCCATCTCATTGGCTGCCGGAGAGGGGGCGAAGGGGTGGTAAAGCAACAGTTGGAAAGGAAGGATGTCAAACCACATGCGGCAGTCCGATCTGGCCATACCCCCTCTATCTCGGGCTTGTAGTAACAACGCGAGGGAGTGGTGAAGCTGATATTGGAGCTTGAGGATATCGAAATCGAGAGTCCCGACAAAGGTAGCTGAATACCGCTCTTGTCGGCTGTTTGGGGTAGCTTGGGGAGGTGGTGGGTCTACTGCTTGGGCGGGAAAGATATCGATCCCGACATACCCGATGAACGCGGTAACACACCACTAATGTGGGCTTTGTAGGAGGGGGGGATGGGGCAATGGTGAGACTACTATTGGAACGGGAAG